TCCCACCTTTTGCCAAGCCTCAGCAGGAACAGCCTGCCTCTCCCCTCCAACACCCACAGAGAAGTCACTGCTGACTGAGCTTCCCAATCCTCCCAAGAGAAAGGCTAGCTTCAGACTAAAGTCTAACAGCAACAGTTCAGCCAGGGATTTTTTTTGCCAATGTCATTATTTAAGACTAAGAGGAAGGCTAGAGAGATGGTCTTAAGCTTTTTGGTTCTGGTAAACTACCATGTATTCCAAGTTTGGCTTATAATCGTGTCAAAGACTGCACTGGCACTCTATTTTAGAAAATATCCCCAACGAATTTGCTATTCTCTGTAAGTCTAGAAACTAAGTCACAAGTGATAGCCTGGTAGTGCAATGTTTTCATGATTTTGCATAGAATGAATAAGCTCAGCTCCTAGAGGGTCGCTGTAATTGTTTTCAGATTGTTCACTGGGGAAAAAGAAGAAGCTTTACTGCAAAGTACATATTCTGCAATTGAATGGAGACAACCTGAGGTTATGAAGGGACACATATACACTGGAAAAAAGCTGCATAGTATGCAACTCTTCTGCTTTTACAATGAAAACAGATCGTCTCTTTTTAAGCAGGAGCATATTTACAGACATTCCTAATGCAAGGAACTACACCTGTGCCACTGAAATTCAAGTCTTCCCCTTTTTCTTCCTATTCTTTCTGTGCTTTATATAAAGGTATCCTGCAGACCATGCTTATAGACAACATGTCAAGGGCTTCAGTTAGAAAAGTTAACTGTGCTACAATTTCATCCAAAGCAGCAACCAGTTGGTGCAAGGGAGAAAAACTTTTAAGAGTATAGTGATGGACGTACCGCTTTGTTGAACATATTGCCAAACTTGAGGCCTACAGAGACCACACAGTATTTTGTAAGTGAACTCCATCACTTTATCTAGTGATGGTACAGTACCTGCTCCAACTCTGGTAAAGCACATCTTAACAGCTATGGGGACATGAAAAAATCTAGATCATGTGGGCTATCTCAGTCAGGTCCCAAATAATTTCTGTTGCTCTACAAAAGGCCAGCACAACAGTTTAAGCTTTGATAAGCAAAAGGCTACACTGTGTCATACCAAGTAATAGAATAGAAGCCTTTACTCTGGACACCAAAGGCTTTGGGGAAGGTACTGGTGCTGTAGTCTTGTGCGGGAATTTGCCTTGCACTCCAAACTCCCTTTTTAGAGAACTTTATTTTAGCAGAGAAAGGCTTTATCTCTCAGTGTTATTACAGGAAAGGACCCAACAAGAGGGGACAGAATTATTCCACATGTTGGTGTTCTTGTCTACTTCACAAGATGCAGCCTGCACCTGCCAGAGTCTGTCATACTAGCTTGGCCAAATGTGTAATTACCTCACTTAGAGGCACTTTCTCCACAACAGGTAACCAGAGAAAGTCCTTCACTTGTAAGATGACTTCTCAACCTTTTTTCCTTCTACCGAGGCCTGAAGGACACTCAGTCACATTCCCAACAGAAGTCTTCAGAAGTGGATTAATTTCAGGGTGCCTACATAGAATCACAGAGTATCTTGAGTTGGAAGGGACCATAAGGATCATTGAGTCCAATTCCCTGCTCCTCGCAGGACTACCTAAAACTAAATCATATGACTAAGAGCATTGTCCAGACACTCCTTGAACTCTGACACGGTTGGTGCCATGACCACTTCCTTGAGGAGCCTGTTTCAGTCACCAACCACCCTCTCAGTGAAGAACCTTTTCCTAATGTCCAATCTGAACTTCCCCTGACACAGCTTCATTCCATTTCCTCACGTCCTATCACTGGTCACCACAAAGAGCAGATCAGCACCTCCCCCTCCACTGCCCCCCTTGAGGAAGCTGTAGACTGTGATGAGGTCACCCCTCAGCCTTCTCCTCTCCAAGCTGAAAAAGCCAAGTGACTTCAGCCACTCCTCGTAAGTCTTGCCCTCCAGACCTTTCACAATCTCGGTTGCCCTCCTTCTACATAAACCACTACTTACTTTGGTGAAGAGAAGATTACAGTTGGGCTCATCACCTATACCAAAATCAGACTCAGAATCACCCTTCTACTCTGAAGTCAGAAAAGCTAATAAAGCCATCTTCAAGGCTAACATCAAAGAACAGGAGTCTTGGTGCAAACTGGGCTGCTTTATAATCCTAATCTTACAGGGTGAATAAATTATCACCCATGAAGGAGAAAGTTCTTCAACCCAGCATGTGAGATCACAGTGAGCAAAGAGGTTAACATCCTAATCACCTTTGGACATCACTTAACTTCCTGTATGTCACTGAGGAACGGAAGAGTAGATATGCTGCTACTTGTTGTTCAACAAACTTAGGTGGCCAAATGAAGAAAATGTAGTAGCAGGTAGATCAAAATAAAAGCCAGCTGACTCCATAGATACATGGGTACATGAGGTAAAGAAGAAAGAGAGCATGTTTCCTGACTTCATTAGCCCAAGTTCTTCTGATTTCAAGCTCCTAAACTCCAACAACCTTAGCCTCAAGCAAACTAAGAGACAAGAATAACCTGGTGTTTCTCACTTCCATGTTCTCATCTATCTGCTAAAGATCTTAATATCACTACAAGAATCAATGGCAGTAGAAGGTGAAATGAGAAGCCAGGGTTGATTCAGACTTTGGTAACACAAGTCCACTAATGATAAATTGACAATGCTAGTCATTTGTTTATGGCTGGTTTTGGAAGAGTTAATTCTTCCTAGGTCTGCCCCAGCACCTGAGAAAGAACACTGGTGCTACCAAGCTGAGAACAGCTTCCTAACAAAACCAGAAAGCTTCTGCAGCAACAGGGATCCCGACTCTTTCAGCTGAGCTCTGGGTGCTAAATCACCAACAATCAGTTAGGTACCATTTAGAGCTCTGAAGTGACAAGGAAACAGTGCAGAGATAGAATCCTGCTCCTACAGGAGCTATCACTAGAAGACCTATCCCTTGAACTTGTTTTACCCTTCAGGCTCAGCTGACAGTTTTGTTAAATTCTGAAGATATATTTATATCACAAAACCTACCTCGGCACACTGCATCATCAAAAGATCTGTCCTGAAAGGTACAGGGCTCCTGAATCTGATGGGAGCCAGAGGACTCCAAGGACAACCTCTTTCAGATTCAAAATGGCATCTTTACATGCTGGCTTTAAAGCAAAGACTGACAGTAAGGGTATAAAAATAGAATGGATTAAGCTTTTAGGGAATACCTGTTCTGCTTTTCCTTGACATGTCATCTATGAAACCAGAAAAAGATACAGAATATGTGTATGGTATATGTATGGCTGACCTAAGTCTCTAAGCAGGGACTCACCTATACTCATGTCAAGGAAGTCTGCACAGAAATTCCTTAAGAATCTCAAATTTTTAGTGTCCTGCAAAATAACCTCAGGCCAGCACTGTTCAATCCTACAAAAGCTACCATTCCCCTAAACAGGTCAACTGCTACTACTAAGAAAACTAAACGCTCTTGAAGAACACTAACATAGATGGTTGAGAACTGGTGATTAGATACAAATGAAGACTTTTTTTTAAGCATTTAGCTCCAGGTCAGCACCACTCAAGTAGTACAATAGTTTATTGTTTGCTCTATACTATCTTAATGTAGATGTGATCAGAAGCATAAGCCTGACCAATTCAGTGTTAGGACACAGGAGCAGCTAAGTAAGAAACTCATTGCTTTGGTGGGATCAACAAACATGCCTATTATCCTGCCCTGCCTTCTTGATTGCAGAAGAGCTCAACAGTGTCACAGGGTTGACTAGAGCTGGGAATGAAACAGGGGACTTAAATCTACTGCTTCTTCAGGCTCATATTTCAGTGAGTACAGAAAGTGGTGCTACACTGGATGCTGGCAAAAATATGTATTGCACCCAGTTGCCTTCATTTCATGCCCTACGAAACCACCCTACAGAGATTTTTCAGACTGTCTGAAAGCAGGCCTCACTGCCTCTTCTAGCCTACCCAGAAGTGCTTACTCCAGGAGGGAGAACAATGAAGTCTTTAATCAGCTTGGGCATATGTATCCCTATCATACCTCCAGCTCCCACTGAAATGCCACATCCCTTAAAGCCAGTGCAAAATCCAGTTTCTCTTAAAGAAGGCTTCAGAGGAAAGCAAGAACTCAGCTGGTGACCAGCTTCAGGACAATGCATTGGTTCAGAGTCCTGCAGCATGTCCTCCTCTGGAACTACTAGTTAAGACAATTTTTACTTGCAGCTTAATTTTACATGAGGAATTATTAGCTAATCATAAAGAACAAAATAGAGGCTTGAGATCACATTGCTAATAACAATACATGAACAAGGCTGCAACAAAATCATGTAGTACTTACACTACTTTCTGTGATGTACTTCAGAGGAACAAAACTACCGAGCATTCCAAGTCCTCTGAGAGCTGATTATTACTAGAATGCAGTAAACAGCTCACATGACATGGCCAAAAGGGGACTCACTACAATCTTTCCACAAATTGTCAGCAGCTCTCCACTTTGACATTAGAAAAAGAATCATCCTGACCTACTACTCTCACTTTCTAGGCAAGCATGGGTAGCTGGAACCATACAGACTGTGTCACCAGTCTTATTTTAGAACATGAAGAAGCCATGAATGGAGTCTCTTCCCTTTAATCTAGAAAACAAGTATATCACGTAAAAAAGCATTTACTTGGGAAAGGAATGAAGGACCACAGCAGTGCTAAACTGTTAGACAAATAAAGTGGGCAACCTAATCTAGACAAATAAGTACTTTTTTAATTTTTAGCAAGAAGGTGGCAATTGTGCTGGAGTCCTATTCCCTAGAACAGCATTACAAAGACTAGAGTAGAATACACATTAAGCTAGTCATATTTTTCTAGAAGCTTTCCAAACAAGGCCTACCTCTGTATCTGAATCTCAGAAACAGGTTTCTGAAGTCTGAGATACTTTTCAAATGATCAGTTTTTCTCAGGACACACATGCAGTTTCATTGTTCTCAGCCGAGAACAAAAAAAAAAAAAGAAAAAAAGGCTCTTGGGAGCCTCTGCACTCTGCCTTGAAATCTTCATTTCCAGTTTTCTCCCTCATGTTAACAGCTATGAACTCAGCCATTCTGAACATTTCCAGCTAGAAAAACTGCCTTTTTTACAACAGGGTTAAAAGTGGCACAACCAAAGAGTGTCAGAACAAGACACACGGATGAAGAATGAGCCATACGTCAGGACAAGGGCAGTTCAAATCCTTGGGGCAAGGACCACCACTTAATTGTGGGGGAAGGTGGCAGAAAGTACTGAGCTCTGGAAATGCCTCAGGCTCCCTAGGGAAGCAGTATGGCTCCTACTTAAGCTCTTTTTCCTGGGAAGCTCTTAATTTATGTTTACACTGAAATAAATGGAACAAAACAGTTTATTTGTGGGGGAGCATCTGAGAGGGTGGTTAGTGCAGCCCTGGGGAGGCAGCAGGAAGTGGGATAACCTCAGAGCCAGGCCCAGCAGAAAGTACATGAGGAGCATTAGTTTCCTCATACACAGCTCAGAGGAATCTAGAAACACAACTGAGGGAGAAAAAGGGAGAAGCAAAAAAAGAGGCCATTAAAGTTTAGTGTGCTTTTTTTTTTAAATCCAGTTGTTGATATTTCTGGAGTAGCTGATAAACTGCTACTTCACTAAAACTATTATCTAACTCATAAATCCCCATGTATGCCAAGGTTCTCCAACTTTGAACAAAGGCATTAGAGTCAGTCAGGAGGAGCTAAGGCCACAGAGTAGCTAGTTTGGCAGACCGCTAAACAACATATCAGCCATGGCTCCTCCTTTATTCTTGACTGTCTCATAACCCCCGAATATTCAAAGATGACAGCATTTATGTTAGAGTGTTGAAAGCTGCAAAACTGTGAATACCCAAGTGCAACGCAAGGACCACACAAATGGATTTACCTGTCACAGCTAGTTTAAATATAAGTCCCAATACCTAAACACAGGATAGCTTAAGCCAAGTGTGGTCTTTGGTATAAGTACTGACTGAGACTAATTCTAGACTCATTTCCCCTGCCCCGAGACTCCATCTTCGTGCGTGTATCCACATGAGCAAAGGGCGGCTAAGAGCAGGAGGAGGCCTCTTTAGGGAAGGTTGGGAAGCAGCCACTGGAAAGCGGGAGAAGGCATACTGTGGTACCAGCCGCTGCTTTCTGGACCTCATCCCAGCATCTGCTGCCAGAGAGTTCTCAAATCCCTTTGCCAGCACATAGTTCTGCATCCAGCTTCTGCCAGAAATAGGCTTTCACGCCACCATGTGGTACTCTCACACAAGCACAAGCCCAGAGCATTATCACCACTGTCATTCCAGGCACTGCATTACACATTCCTCCCTAGTCTCAGATGCATGTAGGACAATAATTCAGAACTACGTTGGGCTAGATCGCTCAATAGAAAATATTAAATGCTCTAAAGGGATGTTCAATCATCCACAGCCATCCTTTGCAAGGGCACTAGTGGGTCAGTAACTTCAACTTTCCAGCACTTCCTCAGTTCCTTTTCAAGTCCCTTTTCATCATCCCATTTTCTAGCATGAGTTTCTGATGAACAACATTGGCACAGGTGCAACTGTGATTCAACATCCCCTGCCCTCACAGAGGCCTATACTGAGGGGGGGGGGCGGGGGAAGGAATCTGGCTTCCTTGCAATAGGGAATGCTCATTTCTCTGCAGCATCAGAAAACTGGAAGTTTCAAATAGTACTCAAGAGCCAGTCAACAAAGATGCCCCCAGTATCTTACCAAAGCAGCTGCCACGATGTGAAAGAAAACTTTTACAAGCTGTGGCAATGGCCAGCTCAGCAGAAACTACAGTCTTGATAATCAGGTCCTCCACGTTGGCCATCAGTGCTACAAGGAGGGGAGGAGGGGAAAAAAAAAAAAAAAAAAAAGGAAAAAGTAGATTGTGAAGTAGCACACAATATCTAGAAGAGCATGAGAATATGCATATGGACAGATACCTTTGTGAATCAAAGCACGTGAGAGCCTATGGATGACAAAGCAATGATGTCTGGAAATCCATGCAATCATAAGTATACAGATACATGCATAAGTATCCTAGTGCAAAAATACTCACAAATGAGAGTGACAGAAGTGAGTATATGTACAGTGCATGTAAGCAGAAACATGCGGCAAGCACATCAGCACAAGTCAGCTGGAGTCTGATCACCGCCCACTCAGAGTATTAGGAAGGATTAAACATGAGTGGGTTAGTGAGATAAGCCCGTAAACTACAGAGAATAAGCCATAGCCACTGAGATACAAAAATTTTTCTTGTGGACTTTTATGAGATAACTGTTCTGTGATGTTGCACCTTCCTCTAAAGCAGCTGTTCCCATACCATGATTCACAAATCATTTCAAAATGATATGACTAGTGACAGCTC